AGTTATTAACACGCATCGTTTTATTATTATTATTATTATTATTATTATTATTATTATTATTATTATTATTGTAATCCCATTTTTTATAGTTCAAATAATCTTCAACCAAATTTTCATTTTAAGCGTGTTAATCATGAAAGCAGATATTTTAAGATTATTACATGTATTTTTCGACCAGATGCTGCCGTCTTTTTGATTTATCTTTCAGCTTATCAATACCCGGAGGATCCTTATTATCCTTGGTAACCTCCGGCGCGCGACGATCCCATCCAATTTGGTATCGAACCAACATCTCGTTGATTCTGGTGGGAGAGTAGCGTAGTGGCATTGGACAATAGCCACACAATCCACAAAGCTGTGAACACGAGACTACTCAGAAAATAGATATTCAATATTTAACGCGGAGAAATACCTAACAATGGAGAAGGCGCGAACAATGAATTGAATGGACTGGAGTTGATCGAGTGGCATGGCTCGTCCATGCAGGCGTGGTCCATCTCAGTGTTACTTTATATCTTCTATTCATATTAAATATATTGTTCTTTCTCTAGCCTAACCTTGTTCCTCATCATGTATTGGTAATTGATACGATACAGTGAGTTGGTGTAGTCGATGGTGTGACTTCCACGTAAGATCTTATAGATTAGGCAGTTATATCATGACAAATTGACAAGTTTAGGATTAGGTCTATTATTAGAGCAGTACTAATATCATAGTAGACCATAATTCTACAGCACGAACACCTGGATGCGAAAGTTTGTGCAATGTGTTGAAGACATTGCGTCGATAATGTTTCGGCACGATTGGGCGATCCCTACCTGTAGATGTGTCACAAAGTAAGGTTTCCTTACCTGTTCCCATCTGTTTGATACGTAGTTTAAGTGTTGTGGACGATAACTCGTGCTGAAGATCACTGTCTTCTTTTTGAAGCTCGGCGAGTTTAAGAAGGTCGATTCCTTGGAAACTGTTCAAGGAAGTTATGCGAGATAAAGCGTCTGCAACTACATTGTTTGCTCCAGAGATGTGTTGAATATCTGAAGTAAACTGCGAAATGTAGTCCAGTTGTCGAGACTCACGTGGAGAGTACTTGTCAGAAGGAGAGCTTAACGAGAAAGTGAGCGGTTTATGGTCCGTGAAAAGAGTGAATTCACGACCTTCGATGTAGTGTTGGAAATGCCGTACAGCACAATACATAGCTAGGAGTTCCCTACCGAATGTGCTGTACCTCGATTCGGTGTCTAGCAACCTTCTAGAGAAAAATGCCAAGGGTTGCCAGGAGTTGTTAACCCATTGTTGTAAGACTCCTCCGATTGCCGAGTCGGATGCGTCTACTGCGATGCTAATGGGTGCTCGGGTGTCCTGATGTGCGAGCATCGTTGCTTTAGCAATCAGTTCCTTAACTGTGGAGAATGCTTTTCGTGCGGTGTCGTCCAAATTAATGGATTTCGCATTTCCACGAAGTTGGTCGGTAAGAGGTTTCATAAGTAATGCGCATTTCGGTATGAAACGTCTATAGAAACTTACGAGGCCGTTAAACGTGCGTAATTGCTTAACGGTGGTCGGTTCTGGGTAATCCAGAATGGTTGCCACTTTGGTTCTAAGGGGTCGGATACCTTGAGCATCGATAGTGTGTCCTAGGAAGTCTAACGAGTCGGTTCCGAATTGGCATTTCTGAACGTTTACAGTTATGCCATGTTTTTGAAGTCGTTCGAAAACAAGATCCAGATGCTTGAGATGTGTTTCTCTGTTCGGACTTGCGATTAGACAGTCGTCAACATACGCGTGTACGAAGTTGAGACCTCGAAAAACGTCGTCTATGAATCTTTGGAATGTTTGAGCAGCATTCCTTAGACCGAAAGGCATTCGCAAAAATTCATAGAGTCCGAAAGGAGTTATGATAGCTGTTTTCGGTATGTCGTCAGTAGCCATAGGGATTTGGTTATACGCTTTAACCAAGTCGATTTTCGAAAAGACAGTTGTACCTTTCAAGGTAGCTGTCAAATCGTGAATGTGAGGCAACGGGTAACGATCGGGAATGGTTTTCGCGTTCAATCGCCGATAGTCACCAGTTGGACGCCAATCGTTGCTGTCCTTTTTAGGGACCATGTGCAACGGAGATGCATATGGGCTACTTGACGGTCGTATGATTCCTAAGTCTATCATATGGTCGAACTCGTTTTTCGCTAACCTTAGCTTTTCAGGAGCTAGTCGTCGTGCTTTAGAAAATACAGGTGGTCCTGTAGTCGTGATGTGACGTGTAACATTGCTGGTTACACACGGTAGTTTCGGTTGAGTTTGTTGTATCCCAGGGTACTTATCGAGTAGTGGTTGATAGAGTGGGTCTATCATATGTTTAACTGTGACTGGGGATACTCTACAACCAGTAAAAGAAGTTACGCAAACGGACAAATTAGTGTTTCCGTCTACTAGCCTCCGTTTGCGCGTGTCGATGATCAGATTGTGGTGTTGTAGAAGGTCCATACCAATGATTGGCATAGAAACATCTGCAACAACGAAAATCCAGTGGATGGGTTTGCGTAAGCCCACGTTAAGGTAAACGTACCTTTTGCCATACGTAGCGATCGGTTTTCCATTTGCCGCCTGTAAGTTAAAAGCCGATTCCTGAAGCCGGTCGTTAGGATTTGCTGGGAGAACGCTAACTTCTGCGCCAGTGTCGACGAGGTAACGAACTCTCGTTGTCACATCTGCGACGAATAACAGACGGCTTTGTTCGCCGGCTACGGTTGCCGTTAACGCGTGCCGGCTTGGAAGTTTCCCGAATTGCTTTTCGAATCAGTCGGTTTCGTGTTGGGAAAATTGCAGGGTTTTCTGCAATTTCTGGAAAGCTTTCCATACTGGTTATGATACCAGCACCAGTCGGGGTTATCTGTCTCTCGTGGTCTAGAGACAGATCGCTTACGAAAAATGCTTCTACGTGGTGTGCGCGATCTCTTACGGTCGGTACGAAGACTAAGATAACGCGTGAGTGTGTGACATAAGTCGTTTATATCATTCTGAGTCGTTTGAGGTTTTTCTTTGACTGAAAATACCTCGGTAGTAGATTTCGTAATTTCTAAAATGCGGTCGGCAGATGCAGCTAGCTCGTCTAAGGCATTGTTCTGGAACGAGACCAGAACTGCTTGCACCTGTTGGGGAAGTTTTGACAAGAAGAGTTGTTTGAATAGACCTTCGTCGAAAGTTCTTGGGCCTATTACCTCTCTCATCCGTTGCAACATGTCCGTCGCAGAACCGTGTTGCAGGTCGATGTTATTGAAGAGTTGATCTAACCTTTGTCGATCGGTTAGGTCTCCTCGTTTAAGAATCGAGCGTTTTAAGATTTCGTAAGGATCGGAAACATCACTAGTAAACATACTAGGTGTTACGTACCTGTTGAATTCGCGCGGTAGTGCCTTGACTACTGCGAGGAATTGCGCACGTGTGTCGATCACGCCGTGCTCGGAGAAGTCGGCTTCTGCGTAGCAGAACCAGGCTTCGATGTTGTCGGGCCAGAAAGACATCAGTTGAAACGAAGGCGGGGACAAAGTCTTAAGCTTGAGTACTTTAGGTGTCTGTTCAGTCATGATGAAGTATGAAGTACGATAATGAACAAGGGGAAAATATATATATCCAGGAAAAAGCACGAAAAAAATCACAATGTTTAAAAAAGTTAAAAAAATAAGGCAATGATAAATAAAAATCCCAAAAAGGAACAGACTCACAGTTGCAATTAGGTGTACCAGATCACGTCGGTTTCACCAATGATGATGTCACAGGTATTCAGTGTTTGACAACGCTTCTACCAGTAACACCTAATATATTTCGTTCCCGCCCAGAGAAATCAAAAGACAGAGTCGAGGAGATCGGAAGAGTATATTTGGCGATGACCAATATATCGGAATTCTCTGATCTAATCTGGCTAGCGATTGCGGTTGATGTTGAGCACGGCGTTACCACACGTGATCTGGTGCGGATGCCTGACCGAGCGCCTTCAGCTAAATGAGTCCATTAAAACATATGGTCAGCATCCAATGTCGAAAACTTAGTGCTATTTATTTTGGGGATTTATTTACCGCTACAACCTAATGAAGAGTGCCTCCAATCACTTAACCTTTACCCATTAGAGTATAGGCATCTTAGAGGTGACCTTCTAATGGCTTGCAGTATCTTGAACACTTCTGGACATCCTCTTAAACACCTACTTAATCTTAGTTCCAACACTAACGTCAGGGGTAACACCCAGAAATTGGAGATACAACATAGGAGAACGGACTGTAGATACAACTTCTACTCCTTAAGAGTAGTCGGATGCTGGAATTCGCTGCTGGATAAGCTAGTCCAAGCGACTTCTCAGGATTCCTTTAAGAGGAAACTTGACCTATTTTTAAGGGCTAAGGACAGTATTGTAGCAGCAAATAAATCCCCAAAATAAATAGCTCTGTAAGTCTTTGACATTGGGTGCTGACCACATTAGTTTGAATGGGGTCACCTGACTGAAGACGCTCGGTCATGCATCCGCAAAAGATCACGAGTGAGAATGCCGTGTTCAACATCCTCTGTAATCCCTAGCCAGATTAGATCAGACAATCCTCTATATATTGATAGCCTATCAAATATATCTTCGAACCTCCTCTCTTCTGTCTTTTGATTTCACTTAGTGTGTCCGATTCATATTAGAAGGTGTTACTGGTTAAAGCGTTGTCAAACTCCAAATACCTGTGGCATCTTCAGTATCTTACTATGATTTACCGATTTCTTTCTCCTCTTTTATCGTTAATATACCTAGGTTCCTGCTTGAAGGTGTTGGTGATCCAGTGCTACTAGACACGGAAGTCCGTTAAGCGAAAGCCTCTTCTACTCCTGCTACAATCATTTGGACCATTTGAGGAGTAGACAAATCAGTTAATAGAACTGATCGTCGAGCAACATCCAGAGTTAGAATCCTCAGTTGTTTTAGGTTTGCAAGTAAAGGACTTGTATATCAGTTATCCAAGAACCGCTTTGCTCAATTCAAACCCATAACGTAAGAAATATTCTGTCAATTACTTTTAGCCTGCTAAGGTATGTGATTTGACGACCTTGGTAGACGCGGGTTTTTGGTCACGACCGGTACCTTATGGAATCCCTAGTTAAGACGTGCTATGAGTTAAAGGATCACGGAGTGCTCCACCACCATGGTGCAGAAGATCGTTGGAGCCTAAGTTTATTTAAGAAAAAATTCCACGTGGAAATTATTCGTCATGGCGAAGAGTCTGATACAATGGAATTCGATATGATTAATTTGGATTGCTCCTTCGCTAATGCAGTTCGGCGAATTTTGGTCTCTGAAGTTCCTTCTCTCGCAATAGAAAGGGTCTATGTTTCTCAGAACACGAGTATCATGCCGGACGAGGTTATGTGTCATCGCCTTGGCTTAATCCCACTCGCTGTTGACCCCAAATATTTTTTGTTCCCTACAAGAAAGCCTCCTGCTTCCGACGACCTATCAGGGTTTGACCCTAAAGAACACCTAGTATATGATGTGCGCGTTGGTTTCACACATTCTAGCAAAGATTCCCATAATAAATCTGGAAAAGATAAGGATGACACTTTACCTGTGGCTCAGTATTTACCAGTGTACAGGTTGGTTGGTTTTTATATTTCCCTCACAGTTACATTAGTTTCTCATGCACAAGAAAGCCATTTTGGTATACGTTGTTACAAAGTTTCTAGTCCAAATTAATTCACTGTTGACTCCTATTCAGATAATTTAGAAAATAGCAAGTTTTCGCTGTTCATCCTTAAACAACAATCATCATCTCTTTCCTGTATTAGGCTTTTAAGTGGTTGATTAGTATTTGTGTACCACGCTTGCGATATAATGCCATTTGGTAAGTCTAATTCACTATAGTCCGTAGAAAATCATATATTCGCCGAATAAATTCCAGTCATCCCCACCATTTTCCCATCAAACTAGATTTGTGTTGTGCTGTTACACATATTCTCAATGACTTGTTCTCGATCAGCGTGACCGGTTTTATCATTAGTGTTCAGACGTCAATCCATTCCACTACTCAATACATTTACTCTCATATATGTTCATCCAACTTTTTCTCCTCTACTTTTTAATGGTTGTACTCATCTCGACACATTGACTTTTGCATTTTGCTCAAGTACAAATTAATGTGAAATTTGCTGTTAGTTATGATCTACGTACATAACAACTGTAGTGATAAAACTGGATGTCTGATAATCCTGAGTTGTTTTTTAAGTGATCTACTTACTAGCGTGAAATTAGGATGAAAGAATGATATTTAATTTTTCTGTCTTAACAGGAATCACCCAACTTCTGATGATCGACTAAATGCTCTAGAAAATACAATCTACAGCTCTTGACGTAGTTGCGAATTGATCTGAATCTTGTCCTATTCCCCCCTACACTAGGACTGCTTATGTTCTAGTGGACATGACTGAACTGTTAGAAAAATGTCTCCGAGAAATTTATTATAAGCTTCAAGTATTTCAGGTACAATTGTGTCCTTTTGTTTCAGGCTGGTAATAAGATTATGGTAAGTTTTCCAATCTCACCAATTTTAGAAACAGTTATACAAGAGTGTATTCTGTTGGTAGTGTAAACTGAAACGGTCGGACTTTGGTGATGAAATCAATCGTCGTATATTAAGACTTGAAATGGCATCCGATCCCTCCTTTACAGTAATGGGATGCTAGCTTGCTAAGGACGACCAATGAACGATTTTATTGCGTATGCGATTTACTCGTTCTACACTAAATACCAAGTCAGTAATTAATCTACCACGCGTTAACAACTCAGATTAAAAACACGTAGTTCGTCAGACTAACACGCGTATTAATCGATCTAGAAGATTCAAAGGTTGGGACAATGACATCAAATATCTGTCAGACCATCTGTCCATCTATCTGAAAACAACAACCAATTACTGTCTACATTGACCCATGCAACAGAACCCGAATCGACTCATTCCATTTTAAAACTCCTTTGACTGCTAGATTAACTTTGTGCGGTTAAGTTCAAAACGTTTTGACGCACGTAATTTCTGAGTTTAGGATTCTCAAAGGTTTTCCAGATTTGTTCATCGCTATTCCTGAATAACTACCCAGATTCGGGAACGACATCATATTGGTAGTGTTAAAGTTGGACAGCATACTTAAGAAATCATTATTCAATCATTGATGTTATTTCGGAACACTGACTATAGTAGGTCGAGTATATAACACATTGTTTATCTTGGGTTTCATTACCAAACTGTTTACTAAAACAGCAGGAGGAGCGTAGGTGTCATTAACAAGGTTTGACTTCATAATTTCGAACAAATTGAGCATTGGGTTGATTGTTATAAATAAAAATAATATATTTGTAATATCCCAATGAGTAGAAAATTGGATTTTCCGACGTTTCGTGACTTAGTGTAAGCCACTTCTTCAGAGAATAAATAACCAAATTAAAATTAATCCAAGTTTAAATAGTACAACGGAACAATGCAAGAATAATATTTGATCAATCAAAAAACGGGTCTGAACAAGTTGATGTCATGTCATTTCTGTCAAGGTGATTCATAAGTGATATGTATGTAAATTTGTGTGTATGTATATGAGCATTGTTTAAGAATGAAAACTTGTGTGACCTTTATGGTAAAAAAGGATAGAGTTTAAATTTGTAATATGATCGTGTGAAATTGTAAATACGATCAGACTGAATGGCTAGGATAGATGGTTCAAGTAGGATGTATGGTAAGACCTTCCTTTCTATTGAGAGAAGTAGGATTAAGCATTATATGGAACGCCTCAGCTACCCTAATTTCTTTGTAGTTGGAAAAGCCTTTTTACAATATTATGATATTTTTAAAATCGATTTGGTGGTTGTTGAAAATGGCATGAACTGCTATTGCCGATTTAATTTGAAGTTGGTTCAATTCTCCAGGATTGTTAGGAGGTTTCTTTGTGTACCTAATATGTTCTTTGGCTCTAGTCACGATTTCGCGGGATGACTCTCCAATATAATAGGCATCACAATCGATACAACCTAATTTGTAGACGCAGTTCTGTGTGGACATGAAAGGGATTTTGTCTTTCAGGCGAACTAAAGTATTACGTAGTGTGTCCGTTGTTTTGTAATACACTTTGATTCTGTGATGTTTTAAGATTCTTTGGATTTCTTCTGTTGTGCCATGACGGTATGGTAGAACTACAGTACCAATCCATGGCATTTCATTCGAATCATTATTATAATGTAATAAACTGTTTTGTTTTAATATGCTTCTAATAATCTTCATAGGAAAATTATTAAATTGTAAGATGCTAACTATATTCATTTGTTCTTTTTGTTTGTCTTCCTCTGATGTGATGATCTTGTTAGCTCTTCTAAAAACATTTAAGGCTAGCGAGATGTTTGCACTGAAAGGATGTGCTGAATGGAAGTCAATATAAAGATTTGAATGTGTCGGTTTTCGGTAAATGGATAGGTTTAGACTTCCATTTGGATTTCTTTTTACTAAGCAATCCAAGAATGGTAGCTCACCATGTACATTTTCATTCGTGAATTTGATGTGCGATGAAAGTGTATTTATTCGTTTTGAAAAAGATCTTAGATGAGTCTTTTTTATAACAACAAATGTATCGTCTACATATCTAAGCCAAATTCGTGGTATAATGTTGTGGGCGAAGATATTTGATTCTATGTATGCCATAAAATGGTTGGCTACAATCGGGGACACGGGGGATCCCATCGCTACACCGTTAGTTTGTTTGAATAACATACCGTTAAAAGTAAATAGCTTTGAATTTAAGCAAAGTTTTAAGGATTTCATGATTAGACTGATGCTCAACGGACATCTGTCAGGAAGAGTATTGTCGTTCTCAAGTAAACCACTAATGAATTCTAAGCATTTATCAATGGGAACACTTGTGTATAAAGAAACGACATCAAAGCTTACCATGATTTCATTCTTCTTGATGATTAATCCGGATAATTTTGATTTAAAGTCATATGTGTCTTTAATTATATTATGTAAGTTGAGTTGCAGTGGTTTTAATACACTTCGCAAACACCCCAACATATGCATTATCAAAATATTTAAGCAACATATTAAAACCACTGCAACTCAACTTACATAATATAATTAAAGACACATATGACTTTAAATCAAAATTATCCGGATTAATCATCAAGAAGAATGAAATCATGGTAAGCTTTGATGTCGTTTCTTTATACACAAGTGTTCCCATTGATAAATGCTTAGAATTCATTAGTGGTTTACTTGAGAACGACAATACTCTTCCTGACAGATGTCCGTTGAGCATCAGTCTAATCATGAAATCCTTAAAACTTTGCTTAAATTCAAAGCTATTTACTTTTAACGGTATGTTATTCAAACAAACTAACGGTGTAGCGATGGGATCCCCCGTGTCCCCGATTGTAGCCAACCATTTTATGGCATACATAGAATCAAATATCTTCGCCCACAACATTATACCACGAATTTGGCTTAGATATGTAGACGATACATTTGTTGTTATAAAAAAGACTCATCTAAGATCTTTTTCAAAACGAATAAATACACTTTCATCGCACATCAAATTCACGAATGAAAATGTACATGGTGAGCTACCATTCTTGGATTGCTTAGTAAAAAGAAATCCAAATGGAAGTCTAAACCTATCCATTTACCGAAAACCGACACATTCAAATCTTTATATTGACTTCCATTCAGCACATCCTTTCAGTGCAAACATCTCGCTAGCCTTAAATGTTTTTAGAAGAGCTAACAAGATCATCACATCAGAGGAAGACAAACAAAAAGAACAAATGAATATAGTTAGCATCTTACAATTTAATAATTTTCCTATGAAGATTATTAGAAGCATATTAAAACAAAACAGTTTATTACATTATAATAATGATTCGAATGAAATGCCATGGATTGGTACTGTAGTTCTACCATACCGTCATGGCACAACAGAAGAAATCCAAAGAATCTTAAAACATCACAGAATCAAAGTGTATTACAAAACAACGGACACACTACGTAATACTTTAGTTCGCCTGAAAGACAAAATCCCTTTCATGTCCACACAGAACTGCGTCTACAAATTAGGTTGTATCGATTGTGATGCCTATTATATTGGAGAGTCATCCCGCGAAATCGTGACTAGAGCCAAAGAACATATTAGGTACACAAAGAAACCTCCTAACAATCCTGGAGAATTGAACCAACTTCAAATTAAATCGGCAATAGCAGTTCATGCCATTTTCAACAACCACCAAATCGATTTTAAAAATATCATAATATTGTAAAAAGGCTTTTCCAACTACAAAGAAATTAGGGTAGCTGAGGCGTTCCATATAATGCTTAATCCTACTTCTCTCAATAGAAAGGAAGGTCTTACCATACATCCTACTTGAACCATCTATCCTAGCCATTCAGTCTGATCGTATTTACAATTTCACACGATCATATTACAAATTTAAACTCTATCCTTTTTTACCATAAAGGTCACACAAGTTTTCATTCTTAAACAATGCTCATATACATACACACAAATTTACATACATATCACTTATGAATCACCTTGACAGAAATGACATGACATCAACTTGTTCAGACCCGTTTTTTGATTGATCAAATATTATTCTTGCATTGTTCCGTTGTACTATTTAAACTTGGATTAATTTTAATTTGGTTATTTATTCTCTGAAGAAGTGGCTTACACTAAGTCACGAAACGTCGGAAAATCCAATTTTCTACTCATTGGGATATTACAAATATATTATTTTTATTTATAGCAGGAGGAGCGGTTCACGGTTTGGCTCCATGAAATGAAGAATAGTTGTCTTAGTATCTGTGAACTCAATACGGCTCTTTTAAGTAGTGTTCTAGAGATCGCAAGGTACACCGACCGAAGGTATTGTCAAATAAATCCCAAAATATGAGTTTTTGGCGATTATGCTGTAGCTTTTTTCAGAATGGGTTTTGTGGAGATTTTAGAAATTTTACAGATTGAAATCATGAGTCAGTTGAAGCTAGACCACCATTGAAAACCTGGAAGCACTGGATGGCCGTTTCGTCCTAGTATGGGACTCCTCAGCAGTGCGCATCCACGATCCCGCAACACGCGGGGCTCGAACTCAGGACCTACTGGCTTCGCGCGCGAGCACTTAACCACTAGACCACTGAGCCGGCATCCAACGGTGTTAATGTCTAACTTCAACCAATCCACGAAGTTGCGCCACCGTACACCATTGTCTTCAGTGAGTTACTATCTCACAACAGACCTGGTTGGATGCGCACTGCTGAGGAGTCCCATACTAGGACGAAACGGCCGTCCAGTGCTTCCAGGTTTTCAATGGTGGTTTAGCTTCAACTGACTCATGATTTCAATCTGTAGCTTTTTTGTTGTGCTCTCCATGAATAGTATTGTGTACCCTTGAAATACACGGGATGTATTTTTTGCTACTTTTACTTATAGGTGATTTCGCTTCTCATCTCTCAGAAATACCATAAAATCCTAAGGCATTCTGTGCTTTTAAAGTGGCTTATTCCTGCTACTTGTTTGGTCATAATCCCTAAAATAGTTAACTATCTGCTATTTCCCCCACCTGAAGAGTTACATTTGCGACAGTGATAGTCTATTAGAACACGTCGTCGTTACGAAGCACTTGGCTAACCATAAAATGTAGTTATTACAGGATGAATACACTAAGAGGTTGTTATTCTGGTAATCATTACTACATTCGGGGCTTTATTTCTATGTAATGACACGTGGTGCTTATAGTGCCTGTAAAATTTTCGTACCAGAAAAACCCGTAATTTACAAAAAAAACTAGTGGCATACGAAACAAAGATATTAATGTTGGCATCAGTTCATGAATTTGACAATCGAACTGAGCCTTGTGGTTGGGTGTGAACCGCTTGGTTGGGGCCCATCCTAACCCGTAGTTAGAGATTTTGAATAACATGGCTCAGCATAATTCCCAATGGCGCAAATGAATCCACTTCTTGCCTTCTTTCAAGTTCTGAGTTCCGTTATCTTCTTATGCATTTCTTATTTTCGACATCTAGTCTTTTATACTACTAGTACTACTGTTAATCTTACTACTTTGGGATTTGGTTTGACAATTTATTTCTTCTGTGCTAATGTGATGTGGCAACTTGAACTGATACGTGTGCCAGGCTCTACTTTACCTATGGCTGGTTGAGACAAAGTTGAGATTAAAACACTGAAGTAGGCTGTGAGTACGAAATACTATTTATTTTATTTATTTGTTTGAACACATAAGTATTGGTGCAAGGGGGCACCAGATACATATGCACCACACAAATCGCATTTGGTTTGTGTGAGGGCTGTGATACTGTCCGGGTGCCCAGACCGAAGCAGGTGGTTTTCTTAGGGGGCCACACCCGGAGCCTTTGACTTAAATGTCTGCCCCAAAAGGTAGTGGAGCATCGTAAGATGTATTCATAGTTATATAATATGCTCTTGTGGGCCAGGATAATTTTACATTGGTCTTCAGGAGAACCAGACACCATCCAGACTTTCACGTGACAACCCAAACAGTACATCTCAATCCCGTTTAACAGGAAAGCCAGACACCTCCCAGGCTTAAATTTTATAACCCGAGCAGTACGTCTCAGTCCCGCTTCACAGGAGAACCAGACGCCGTATAGGCTTTAACGCTACAATCTGAATAGCACAGCTCAATCCTGTGGTGCAACCACACAGGTACCAAGCACCCTGGACTACTAATCTAAATCGTGCTTTAGAAGTGATGACGTTACAATATTATCACCTAGCGTAAAAATCCACTAATATAGGTATTACATTTCTACTTGTGTCACACTAAAACTAACCGAGTACTAGTTTAGCGTTAAGTAAAAATTTAGCAGGTTTTGAAATATTTGATGCTTGTTACACACAAAATGTTGCTCCAAAACTGTCTTGCATTCACCTTCAATATAAAAATCAGATAATAAAGCAGTTTAAATTGTCGCTGATATCATGTGTTCAATTCTGTATATCCACCGTAATGATAAATGAAATCTTTTCGTGTTCTCCACATCCACCTATCACGTAGCACCAATAAAATATTGGACCACTATATCACACTATAGTGGGTAAGTGAGAATTAACCGACTCCATAATTTGATTTTTGCTTTAAGCCAAAGCATAAAGTTGGTTACTAGTGAACGACAAGCATAAAAAATATGCATTTCACAAAAGCCTTATTTTGAACACTTTGATTTTTAATAGTTCGGATCTCAAGTGGATACCACTAACCGGTCAGGAGGATCATTTTAATATCAATAATCCTCCTATCCCAGTATCATCAACAATACTTATCAATAAATTAGCTCTTGGTGATGAAATCGAAGCTCGATGTGTTGCAGTGAAAGGAATTGGTCGGGATCATGCTAAATTTTCACCCGTTGCAGCAGCTTATTATAAATTTCATCCAATTATCAAACTTCTTCGTACAATTGAAGGAGAACAGGCAGTTAAGTTGCAAAAATGTTTTGCATCTGGTGTGATTGGAGTAAGTATTTACCTTAAATGATTTATCTTACCAGTCCTTTCATCTGATATTCAGCAACTAGATATGATCAATAAGGCTAGTCCCATAGCCCTGTACATAAACATATAGACAGTTACCTGGTAAAACAAGCGTCCATATTTTAGAGTGCTGAAAAGGAGAAACCAATAGATTATCTAAGCTGTTCGTTTATTTTCTTGTTTATTTATTTATTTGAACACATAAGAAAGCACCAGATATATATGCGCCACATAATTAAAGTGAAATGGCAATGCTTATTGGATATACTACTCGCACACCTATTACAATTCCAATAACCCATACCCATTTGATAACATTCACTTTTATTTTTCTATTTTCTTGGGCCAATCTAGAACAACGTAATGTCTTGATTGTTATTGACGGTCACTATCAAAAGCAATTTAGAGCATCCTACTAGGATCTACTGTCTTACATAGTCTCATATCTATCCAGTCGTTTTCCAACTCAGTCACAAGATGGATAATTTTTTGTGACGTCATAGTCATGTAGTGATTGATCGTTGGACAAATAAAGGATTCGATTTTTAAGCTCCGCTTAATTTATTTTAAGGGGCTGATTACATCAATGCCTAACATACAACATGCATAACTAAAACCCTGATATCGGCATGCATTTGCAACTTTTTACTGAACTACATTTATACTCATCTGTTTGGTTCTGCTTCTATATAATATTTCGATAATGTAATGAGAAGACGTAGTTGTGTTATCGAAATTTATCAATGGGACTAATTGTTTTATATAATACTTATTTATTTTAATTATTTGAACATAAATATTGATACAAAGGGGCACCGAATACATATGCGCCACACAAGTCACTTGATTTGCGTGTGGGCTATGATACTTCCCGAGTGCCCAAACCGAAGTAGGTGGTTTTCGTAGGGAACCACACCCGGAGCCTTGGACTTGAAGGTCTGATCCACAAGGCAGTGGAGCAACGTAAGGAAATGCAGTCCCATGGTAGCCTGTCACCAATGATTGGTTCATACGCCATTTCTTTCTTCAGGATACTGGAGCCCATGTGCACCATTGGTTCGGAATCAGGGTTTTCCAAATCTTCTAGATGAATCCTCCATGTCCAAAGCGCCAAACATTCGCTTTTCATCCTCTCAATGCCCCCACCACGAGGAGGCAGTGAGTAGGACTTTCTTGGCAGTGGCTGTATACGCGTGGCCATGTGAGAGCATTTCGAGAGGGCAAGCAAACTCTCCCTACTCCCGGCCGCATCAGGGCATTTGGGAGCTGATATATCACGCTGGGAGGCGAACCCGAGCCCCCTGGTTGAAAGCCAGAAATCCTAACCGCTATTGTATTTTTTGACCATACAGATAATTTAACAAGCCTTACTAATCTTTGGAAAAGTCTCTTCGTTGTTGACGAGACTAAGAGGCAAATGAAAATTATTTACGAGCACTTGTATTCTAGTCTTGTGGGCGCATAACCGAATCATTGGGTGATTTGTGCCTTTCTATTTTGTAAAGTGCACTCCCTACCTAATGATATGTTTTATTTTACACTATGATGCCTACTTTAGTAAAATTAATCTTTTTTAACGTATAAAGACTGTTTCGCAGGTAAAATAAAGTATTATCCAGTTCTATATCTCAATATAAAGTGACTGAACTTAGAGGTGGAATCCAACAAAAAGTTACCCCTACTAGTTGTATTTTACATTTCTTTTTATCTTAGATAAACTCAAAAACTGGTCAAGCCTTTGTCGATAATGCTCGTTTAGATAATGGTTCTCGAGAACATATGCGTCATCCTGAATTCCGTGACGATGTTATTTTCGTTGGGATGGATTCATCACATTGTATTTTCACTGTTGAAACGATAGCTCCTGGTAGCCGCCCTCCATCATCATTAGTCCGTTGTGCTTTAGGTGTTATGATTAGCAAATGTTCACATTATATGGCTGTTACAGAAACACCTGGTTTTGGAGATCACGTTGAGGAGTGTAAACCACTCATTGATATACCTAAAGATAACACTGAAAGTCATACAACTGAAAAAAATCTAGTAAGTCGTAGTATGTCCTTTTGTAATTTTTTTTGAAAATAAAGAAATTCGGCATGTCTCAAGTTTCAAAAAAGAGGAATATTTATTATTATTATTACTATTATTATTAATTATTGCGTCAGGTGTTTAGTGTTTTCTTATCCACTGAGTAGTCCAAATAGCGGCTTACTTGTATTGAGTATATAAGTGTGATATATATTACTAGCTAAATATTGATCAGCACTATATGTCGCTTCTAGTTTATCAATAAAATCTACCTGTCTAAAAGTACAATGTGAGCACCGAGCTAAGCAACATGCTTTTATGTTCCATTGTAAGATAGTTAAGAATATTTGTAGCTCTCAATTAGGATTTCGAAGATGTTTTACCCTATAAGTGAGTTCTTCGTTGCCCTTTTAGACGACATCATCAACGGATACTTTGAAAAGCCGTGAGCTGTTAAAATTCCTTCATGACCAACTAACAGGTTGGTCTGATGACCTAAAGTAGAAAATGCTGTTTACCATAATTTACATCTAATGCAATTTATGAATTTATCAAAAGGATATATCCACTGAAAAAAAGTAAAATGAAGATATATTTATTTTCAATGGACTTTACAACGGATGATTAGTATAAGTATGAACTAAGTGACAGGTAATCAGCAAATATTAATCGAAATTGTAGATTATTCTTTAAAATTATGATGAACAGGTAAGTAAGTGAATAGTCCTAGGATTAAAGCAAGTAAAACTTTTATCGCACCCAAAGAATAAAAACAAATACATTAAAGTGGATTGTTTGGGAAGTTCTTGAAGTCAGAAAACCGACCTTAGTTCAACAACTATTGGAAACCAAGAAACATTGGACACATGTTTCATCCCAGAACGGAACTCTTCAACAGTGCGCATCCACGAACTCACATAACGTAGTCTAATTCGAGACCTTCATGTTTCGTGATGAGCCCTTGGATTACTGAGCTAGAACCCAAAAGCTTACATTGTTTAACTTCAATAAACTTGCGATACTGTGCAACAAGTAACTCCCCCTCCCTACAGATGCAACGCGTTTGAGTCCCACTGGTTATGGAAGTGACATAGTTGTTAAGCAGTTCAACAAGAATACACTACGTATGAGATAAGAGCAGTTCTATAAATTCCCTCCAAATGTGAGCGATCCGATCTAATATGAAGGATACCAGTATTTTCAATCCTACATGGTAGATTTATACGTAAATTATCTGAAAAGTTGGATGATACTGAATAACTTGAAGGGTCTTGTTTATTTCAATTTAATGCTCAGTATCAATTAGACGAGCTAGTATAGAGCTCTTGGTAACCATCAAAATATTCATGTTAACCGTAGGGATGATTTTATCTTAAATAACTCATCAATTTTCTTACATATATTTTAGCTATCAAGCATAAGTTTCTTTGTGTACTCGTAATTTTATTAGTTTATTTGTTTGTTAAAAAGTGATTTTATTCAAAATCTAACCCTGATAACATTTGCATCCGTTTCCATATTATCGATAAAATAATTTTCGTTTTTAAAATCATCCATTCTTAATTGGTAACAGTATGAGTAAACGAATGGATAAAGGTTTTTCCAACTTTGTACAGATGTTGCCTGTTTCTTTAATCGTACTAACGACTGAATTTCACATTTTATAATGTTTTGATAGCATGTTTTATTGTAATTCTTGTTTGAAAACTAACTATTGATTTATCTGAAATTACAGTTATTTCCTAAAGGTAATCGTAGTCATTTAAATGGACGTGAAGTTGGGCTTGAAGTAGTGCATATCACACATGACAAATCACGTGCAACATTTACTTTCTTTGGAGAAGATCATACATTAGGTTTAGCGCTTAGATATTGCATTCTACGAGAGTAAGTCTCCTGGTATATTCATCATATTTTTTTCATTTGTACTGTTTTGTTAGTATGCGTATTTAATTTTTATAATATAACTATAGGCTGTTCTATGAGTATTTTATTCATATCAGTGTTGTTAATCATCGTTAATAGAAGATCTTGGCACGAATGTGTATCAGCCCAAGCTGCTACATTTTACATCAGCAAAGAAGAGAAAATCATATCTACTATAACGGAAATCTAAATATGAGAAATCCACTGCATGAGGAACAAATAAAATTAAAGAATGGAAAGTCAAGAATAATACTCAGTATTCAGGAAATAAAAAGTTCATGTAGCTACGTTATAGTGTATGCTACTTATTCTGACAGATAAACAGTATGTAGAAGCAATCGGAAGTGGAATGTCTTTTAACAGAAAATTGAACAGGATGGGAATCAGAGAGCAATTGTAATAGCAACAGAATTGGAAGAATCATGAAGCATTTAAAGGGCGATTGAAGGAAAATGTGTAAATAATGTATTTAACGTGTGGGTTTTTTTGATATTTTATGACGACACTATAATTTTGCATGAAAAAAAATAAATTCGTTTTCTCCACTTCCGTTTTAAGCCATGCCACCTGTC